GAAAGATCAGCACACTCATCTCTGTGCTTGGCATGTTAGACCAGGGCAGCGTTCGATAAGTGGAGAGGCCTCTTCACACACTGAGGTTAATTATGGAGCTCCACAGGGTTCAGTGCTAGGACCAGTTCTGTTTACTGGGGCTGCCACGATTAGTCGACTATCAAAATTAATTTAATAGTCGACGCGTCGTTTGAAGCTTTGTAAGATCCTGGAAGACGCAGGAATAAGCAGCAGGATTTAAGAGTGTAAGACTGAAACAGAAGATGGCAGCACTGCATCTACAAGGACCAGCTGCCATTAAACACTGAAGAAGAAGAAGCTGTGTCCAGTATCGTCTCAGACGAGAGCGGTCGTTTTATTTTGTAAAGCTGTTTCCTTTAAGAACACGGGGAGCTGTTGGAGGAGGTGCTCAGTCTCCCACTGAACTCCACGTTACAACTCAAACATAGTTTTACTCAAACTCTGTTTTCCTGAATCTTTCGAATAATAAGAAGGTAATAATAAAGACCAGGGTCCGGTCCAAACAGTAAACTGACAAGTGTTTAAATCCTGAAGGAGTTTAAAATTTATGGTTGTGTAAATTTTTAACTCAGTCAGGTGAGAAACTAAGGCCACCTCTCCACGCCCACAGGACTTTAGAGACTCCGAGCAGCCAGGTGCTGCTAATCAGTGCCCCTGATTAACTGAGCATGAAGCAGAGGTTTCTGCAGTGTGCAGGTCTGAAACATTCAGGTGTGTTAACACAACAGTCCTCACAGGTTAAAGGTCAAAGGGCATGACAGTGTAGTTAGAAACAAACTGAATGACTGTAGCTGTTCGGAGGTGCTGCAGGAGCACAGCTTAGGTTTGTAAAGCTGCATCTGAACAAAGGAGGAACCCAAACACCTCCCACGAGCTGTCAGCACGGCGGACCGTGGACTCCTCTGTATACCACTGTGTGCTGGAGTCAGTGTGAGGCCGTCTGTCCCACAGCCTGGACCAAACTGGGTCATCAGCAGGACAACGATCCAAGCGCAGCAGCAGATCTCCAACTGAACGGCTGCGATGGTCCAAAGTGCAGAGCTCAGAGAGCTGTGCATGAACAAATGCTGCAAACCTCAATGAGCTGAAACAGGAGTGTCTTTGTCTGCACTCTTTATTACCACAGACTCAAATCTGCAACCATAAAAATGAAAAGATGCAAAAGATGCAAACAAAGCCGTCGGAAACTTGTCACTGTGGTTGGACGTGCACGGTAGTTCTGTTTACTTCTGTTCATTGTTATGGTTGCAGATTTGAACCTGTGACTGCAGAGGAATCATGCATCCTCTCCTCTTTAAAGACGTGTTTTAATTAACTGAGCTTTCAGCCTCAGGTCACTGTTGCAGGTTTAATGAGAGCCCAATGTTAGCTAGCATCTATCCGTGCTGTACAACATTAGGTTTGAACCTGCACACGAGCTCCTGATAATTATCTTTCTGTCTCGATCCAGGTGGTTTTATGGGAAGCTGAGCCGCTTCGAGGCCCAAAATCACCTGATGGCCCCAGGAAACGAAGAGGGAGCCTTCCTCGTCCGACAGAGCGAGAAAGACGACATCGGATACGTCCTGTCAGGTAAGTGCACAGGGAGAGGGAGGGCCTTCACAAGCACGAGGGGGGGCTACAGCCCAACGGAGGCTCTAACGAATCCTCCTCATGCCAGCACAGTGAACATGTGCTCCAAAGGTGGATACTGTCGACGGGTAAC